GCGCGCTCTGCTTGAGGCGCGCCCGGAGGAAGAAGCGCTGCAAACAGATTTTGAATTAGTTCATGCTCTCCTTGAGTTGGCGCTTGATTGAGTTTTGTACTCCTTAACCTTATGGTGTTGAAAGGGAGTTGTGTTCCATCTTGCTTTTCCGTTTTTGTTTTCTTTTTCTCTGCTAATGAGGAATCGCAGAGAAGAAGAAGGGAGTGAGAGAGAAAAAAAAAAAGTATGATTTGAGGCAACACAACCTCTTTGTGTTTTTTTATTTTTTTGCGAGTTGTTTTACATGGATATCAATAATGTTTTCTTTTTTTTCTTTTTTTTCTCTTGTATTAGGTGTTTTTATTGCGAAATAGTCTCGTTAACTTTCTCTTTTATGCTGGAGACTCGACGACCTTTGGTAATCCTCGTAGTGGGGATGGCTGGTACAGGAAAAACGACGCTGGTCCACCGTATGCAACACTACGCGACGGAGAAAAATAAACGTGCTTATTTTATTAACCTGGATCCCGCTGTCGTAGATGTCCCCTAATAACGCCAATATTGACATTCGTGATACAGTAAATTACAAAGAAGTGATGAAACAGCACCGGTTAGGACCTAATGGGGCAATCATGACATCGCTAAACCTCTTTGCGACGAAGTTTCATCAAGTTATTAGCATACTTGAAAAGAAGGAAAATCTGGATTGGATTGTAGTAGACACACCTGGACAAATTGAAGTTTTCACATGGTCAGCATCAGGTCAGATAATTATAGAATCTCCCTCGGCAACATGGCCAACAGTTCTTCTTTTCGTTGCTGATACCACGCGCTGCACAAATCCACAAACGTTCATGAGCACTATGTTGTGCTCTAGCAGCATCATGTTGAAGCAACAAATTCCCCTAGTTCTTGCATTTAATAAAACTGATGTTATGTCGTCGGATTTGGCAGTGTCCTGGATGAAGGATCCCGACGCAGTCTCCGATGCGGTGAACTCCGATAGGGATGGCAACTACGCTGGAAGCTTGGTGCAATCACTTTCGCTCTTTACCCATAATTTCTACGAGAAATTACCTTTTGCGAGCGTTTCCGCAGCGACAGGGAGGGGAATGGAGGATCTTGAGGGGGCCCCGCTTTTGGCGACGCGCCAGTGTTTTGAAGAAAAAAGACCTCAGCTCAGAAAGCGAGAGAATGAAAGCAACGAGGAGCGAGCCGCCGAGTCAGAAAGAATGCTCCGCGAATACAAGAAAGACAGGGAGGCAGAGACGCAGTAGCGAAGAACCGGGTCTCGGGAGAGGAGCGGGGAAAAAAAAAAAAAAAAAAAAAAAGGACGCCGGGAAAAAGTAAAAGAAAACTTAATGAAACGGATAAACGCAGCACGTTCGGAACCCGCCAGATGGTAACCCACCCCACTTTCTTTTTTAATTTCGTTCTCTCTTTCGCCCGGCGGTTCGC